AGCTCTGGGATTGGTCAAGTTCCTACATCTCATTGGTCACTCGGCTCAGTCAAATAGATATATCCTGGTTTCACCTGGGTTCAGTGTCTCAAAAATCAAGGTTAAAACCATAAGCTCTGTGTGTATGTATGTATGTGTGTGTGTGTGTGTGTGAGAGAGAGAGAGAGAGAGAGGGAGAGAGAGAGAGAGAGATGACATGACCCACAGAGAGAGAGAGAGAGAGAAAGAGAGAGAGATGACGTGACCCACATGTGCAGGTGCCCCTGGAGGCCAGAAATAAATAGAATTAATAAGGTACTTAACAACCTCTGCCCACACCTTAAGAGTACACATACACACATGTATGCATGCATGCACGTGTGTGGGGGGGGGAGTGGGAAGGAAATGTGGAGGGAAAAGAAGGAAGGGACCCAAGCCTAGCTGGGTTCAGAGAACCAAGGGGGAGGATTTAGGTTTTGACACTAGACTGGGGTGATCATCAAAAGGCTTACTACTGCTTGGCTGAATAGAATGAGGAACCGAAAGAGTCATTTCCTCTTCGACTTGGTCTCCACAGAAAGAAGAAATAGCTATCTGTCCTTGTAAGAACTTGGCCTCACCCAAACTTCAGTTCCAAGCATACTCTCTGAGAAGTCCATGTAGCTCTCAAGTTCAAAGTGAGTTCACCTCATCCAAAACCCTCAAGAAATGCCATGCTTGTTCTATCCCTAGGACAATCCTGTCACACTACCCTGTGGAGTCCTCCATAGCATTTAACACAGCATTGTTCCCAAGCGCTCATCATAGCAGCATAGAGCATCCTAACGCTAATTCACATTCATGAAGCATTCCTTCTGTACCAGATTTTGTACAAAGGCCACTTAAGCAAGATCACAGTCCCTACAACTGCCATGAGGTTGGTGCTGCTGTCGCCCACATTTTATGAAGTGAAAAACAGAAAAATTAAGCAACTTCCCCAAGCTCAAAGGGCTTAACTAGTGTGGATTCTGCAGGCTCTGAATCCAGTGGTGCTGGCTTTTTTATAGGCTCTATTGAGCCTGGAACAGATGTGCCACATAGGACTATCAAGATTAACTGAAGAATGAGCCTTCCCCCCACCACATCCTCTTTCCAACATTCCTACTGTCCTATGTGGTCCACCATTATGCCATCCACCCTGTTAAAAGTATAGATTTACCTGCGAACAGGACATTGGAGAAGGAAGAGGAAAGTCAAAGCCTTATGCCTATGGGAATGTGGGGAAAGCAACCACTTCAGCGCTGAGATTCATGGAGCAGCTGTGTCTACAGGTACTTGCAGATATGGGAACATACTGAGTGGCATGCTTTATGCAATTTTAGATGTCCAGGTATGGTGATTTGAATAAAAATGACCCCAATAATTTCATATGTTTGATTGCTTGGTCCCCAGTTAGTGGAACTGTTTAGAAGGATTAGAAGGTGTGGCCTTGTTGGAGGTATTGTGACTGGGGTTGGGCTTTGAGGTTTCAAAAGCCTGTGCCAGGCTCAATGTCTCTCTGCCTGCTGCTTGTATATCATAGTATAAAGCTCTCAGCTACTCCTCCAACACCGCGACTGTCTGCTTCATGTCATGATGATCACGGACTAACCCTCTGAAACTGTAAGCAAGCTCCCAATTTGATGTTTTCTTTTATAACCATTGCCTTGGTCACATTTATTCACAGCAAAAGACAATAACTAAGATACCAGGTCACATATCTGCCTGGGATGAGCTTCATAATCCCAGGTCTACCCTGCACCTCTGTGTTAGGGATGCCTGTCTCCACTCCAGCCACTAGTTTATAGAAACCAAAGAGCAGAACTCCCAGAGGCAAATGTGGCCAAGCTCTGTGTCCTAAAAGCTACAGCTTATTCTAGACTCAAATCACACCTGGGCTGTTGTTCCAACCACTGTAGTTCCCAGAAGGCTGAAGACTGAGAACCTTTGGTGGTACCTCTAAACCGTAAAGAATATCTGGAGGGTCGTTGTTTCTTGGGGTGGGGGGAGGGAGCAGAATCACCACAGAGTAAATGATGGGCTCATCAAGTTCCTGTGAAAGAAACTAAAGCGGAAAAAAGCCCATGGACATCAATTCAACCATCTTCCCAGGAAGAGACTTTTCCCAGACACCACAGCATGGTAGAGAGTGAGGTTTCCCAGTGTGCTAAACTGTGCATACCGCCCTGCACATCCTATGTCTAAGCCCTGCCCCTCCACATGATGGGTTGGTAGGGCCTTTGGGAGATGCCCAGCTACAGATGGGTTTTAAGGGTACAATCCTCATGGCAGACTGGTGTCCCTCTAAGGGACATCTGAAAGCTGGCTTTCCTCCTTTGAACATACAAAGAAGAGGTCATGTGAGCTCATGGTAAGATGGTGATCACGAGTTAGCTATCACCAGAAACTGAGCTAGCCAGCACCTTGACTTTGATTTCTGTGGTTTAAGCCGCTCTGTCTGTGGCACTCATTACAGCAACCTGAGCAGACTAGTGTGGATTTTCAGATGCAGGTGTTCAGGCAGGAGTTCAAATCCAGATCCACGTTTACAGTTGTGCAACCATGGGCAGGGCACATGGTTCCTTTCACTCACGGTTTTCTCATCTACAAATTACATAATGAAGACACCTGTGTGGGGACATAGGAGGTACCTCAAGGTGTCTAGGACACAAGAAATTTCCACAACAGAAACATCATTCCATACCTGTCACTACAAAGGGCTGTCATAGTGTGTATGGAATGATTTGAACTCCTGCCTGAACACTCAGACCACAAAGGTGTTTTGTTAGGTCTGCACCAAAGCTTGGAGAAATTTATACTTTTTAAAAACCAACCTTTGGCTAGGTGGTGATGGCACATGCCTTTAATCCCAGCACTTTTGAGGCAGAGGCAGGCAGATCTCTGCTGGTTTGAAGCCAGCTTTGGGCTTCATAGGATAGACAGAGATACACAGTGAGCCCATGAAAAGTTTGGTGTTTTTGTTGTTGGTTTTATTGTTGTTGTTGTTGTTTTGTCCTAAGACTGGGTTTCTCTATATTGCTTTGGAGCCTGTCCTGGAACTCGCTCTGTAGACCAGGCTGTCCTTGAACTCACAGATATACACTTCCCTCTGCCTCCTGAGTGCTGGGATTAAAGGCGTGTGCCACCAATGCCTCACCGAAAACTTTTAAAACAAACAAAAGAAATTTACATAAAGGAAAAAAATCTTAATTTCAGGTTTTCTGGGAGCATCTCCGCAATGATCCCATTCAGAAGGCCCCTTACTTGCTTCACTGTGCTGTGGGGCAGGTGACATCAGGGTTTGCTCCCCCCTTCCTAGCTGCCCACAAAGATCTTTGAAGCACAATGTCAGGATCTGTCTCCTGAAGTGAGAAACAATTAGCACATTCCTTTGCCACTGGATTATTTATTTATATTTCCACTGGGGATTGAAGACCTGGAGGCAGGAACACAGTGCTTGGAGTAAACTGGGCTCTTTCTTGCAAGTCTGAGGCTGGTGACCCAGCTTTGCCCCTGACACCATATCTTCTTGGGACCTCACTTTCTTCCCTGTAAAATGAGGCCTTGGGCTAGATGGTCTCTTTTGTCTCTTTCCACATTTATGTAATTGTGACATGAAATTCAAGTACATAGGAGGTAGAAATGTAACACAACCATTGCTTACGTGCTGGACAGGCCTGAATGAAAACAGAGCTCTTAAACACCCAACACACTTAACACAATGTAAACAAAGCTTGAACAATGGCCTTGTTTGTTGTTGGCCCACTGCAGGGCTGGGTCTTTAGCCTAGATACTCTCCCATTTAGCATACCCAGAGAGGAATGAAAAAGCTAGGTAATTCAACTTCCTAACCTTAGCTGAGCCTGGGGCTCTGATCCCTGTTCCATCTCTCATGTCACCAAGACATAAACCCAACTGTGCCACCACCCCACCTCTAGCACCCTATGTACTTGGGCTTCCTTTCACTGCAAGTACAGGGACCCATTCACCTGCTGATTCACCCCACAGGAACCCTCCTCCCCAATGAATCCCCATGACCCTCAGATCATGGCATAAGCATCACCTCCATTGTCCCTGGACTCTTGGCAAGACCAAGTCATATTAACATGCTTTCTTCATGTCATCACACAGCTCGTGACTGGTTGACTAATAAACACTTCCCATCGAACTGTACATTCCAGGACAGTGAGGTGGGGATGTGGCTCAGTTGACAGAATGCTCACCCACTAAGCCTGAGACCCTGCCCCTCCCTCTCCCAGCATCTCATAAACCACATACTTGTAATCCCAGCACTCCAGGTGGAGAAAGGAGGATCTGGAGTTCAAGGCCATCCTCAGTTATATAGTTAGTCCAAGGCTAGTGTAGACTACCTGATACCCTGTCTCAAAACAAAATAGCAACAAAACCAAAAACCAAGAAAGCAAGGTCCACATATATTTCCTCTAGCACCTGGCCATCAAGGTGGTACTCTAATATTTGTTACTAAGCCTTTTGTTTGTTTGTTTGTTTTTTGTTTTTCGAGACTGAGTTTCTCTGTATTGCTTTGGAGCCTGTCCTGGAACTAGCTCTGTAGACTAGGTTGGCCTAGAACTCACAGAACTCTGTTTGCCTCTGCCTTCCAAGTGCTGGGATTAAAGGCGTGTGCCACTAACGCCCGGCTTTACTAAGTCTTTTATTAACAGACGTAACTCTCATGTAATCTGGCTCCAAACACTAAATCATTTTGCCTTATACAGTGTTCAATAAGTGTTTACAGACTTAGTGCCAGCTAACTTACATCAACCTGTACCCACAGCACAAAGTGCATAACATACATGAGCACAGGCATCATATCAGAATGAGAAGTTAGATGGTAAAGGTATCAACATGACAGACACAACAACAATTTAACAGGAAGCAGAGGAGCAGCAAGCACTAAGCAAGGTGGTAAGGGTAGAAGGTGAGGAGGACCCTAAACCTACTAATGAGAAAACAGCACTGGTTTTGGCCAGCCAAGTGAGTACCTGATGTTCTCGTTCAGTGCATATAGCTCATTGCTCTGCAAGCCACCCCCTTTGAAAACATTGATCACAGCTGTCTGTACACTGCAAAGAGACAGAAACACATGCTGGTTAGGTGATTTGCCTCTAGGGGCCATTTTTCAAACAGCTCCCAGGGAAGGCTGTGGAAGAGCTGGGAAGCCCTAGGGGATACTCGCAGCCACTTCTTCTGTCCCAGAAATTACTGAGGAGTCTGGGGCAAAGAATCCAAGGCAATTCCTGGCCTCTTCTTCCCCTTGCTCACATGGAGGTAGGCAATGGATCAGCTCTCTGAGAACTGCCAGCACTGGTACCTGCAAGCATCCAGGTAGCATTCATTGTCAGCAGGAGCTGACTTTGTCTGCTTACTACTGGAAAGTCACCATCTTCTCAGATAGAAACTGTAACTGCTTGCCTTTAAAATAGGGTTTTCCATGGGCTTTCCTTGTCCCTTTGTTTCACCCCAGGGAGGGAAGTATACTGGCATAGAGTTAGGCTCTTCAAGGGCTACAGTCAGGGCTCAACTCCACTCAAATCCAGGAACCCTGGTTCAAATCAGCAGCAGAAAAGCTGATTATAATCTTTTCTGTGCTGAGGAGTTTTACAAAGGACAGTGATGCTCAGAACGCCAGAATATTCCAGGCAGCCCTGCTAAGCTGCATCAGCTGATTGTGCCTGATGGCCAGTCACTGAAAAAGCACACAGAGAATTCAGTAATGTTTTCGTTTATCCAGAGGCCAACACAGATTTGAAAACCAGTGGCCCACAGACTTCCAAGCCAGTACTGATGGGCTGATCTGCTTCAGGCATGGTCCACAAGCTCTGCTGGACACCTTCCAAAGCTACATCTCCTCTCTCAAGTACCAGCAGCTCAGGAGAAAGAGACTGTGGCATGTGTATGCCATTCATTGAGCTTTGCACAGAAACACACCTAAGCTTCCTAAAGGGAAAACAGGTGATATGAGGTCACCTAAAAGATCCCACCCTTAGATACTCACCCTATGTAGGGTGTTGAGGGGCATGAACTGGAACTGTAAAATTTAACTCAATGATCCCAGGCTGGTAAAATGGACCCTGAAAGGCTAGAACTCTCAGGGAGCTACCTTCCCTGAGAAAACAGGGGTACTGGCCCCATTTATTACCTGCACCATGATCAGACTCTATGAGCAATGCTCTCTGAGGTAGCAGATGTTCAGCTCACCCCCAGATTACCCCAGATCCCTCCCTGGACCCCCAGGCCCTTACCTGTTCCAGGCAGAGTTGGAACTCAGCTGCAGAGCCTGCCGGGCAGCCTGGAATCGGGGTAGCTCGCTGAGCACTGGGGAGCTCATAAATCGTGGTCTGGGACGGCGGAAGGAGCCCATCTTATGGAACTCAATAGGCAGGAGGGGAGCAAGGCCTCGGGTCATAAGTCCAGGTAAGGCTTGAGCTGTATCTTCTGGACCAGACGTTTCTGGCTACCCTCAGAAAAGGCTGCTTCTGGGCTCTCTTAAAACTCCACTCTGAGCCAACACCTGAAATGAGAGGCAGCCTCTACTGAGAACCTGGCTGAAAACATGTAACTAAAGGATGTTGGCTGGACTCTCTAGCTAAATGATCCTAAAATCAATGACACAGCAACAGACTCTATTGCCACTGAGGTTCCTGGTGTGTGTGTGTGTGTGTGTGTGTGTGTGTGTGTGTGTGTGTGTGTACACTAAGCACGGACCTAGGGCTTAGAGCATGGACCAGCACCCTATGACTGAGATACACACAAAGACAGCCTTTGTGAATGCCTCACATCAAATGTAAAATCTCCTTCTCCTTGACAATAAAGATCCTCTGCCCTCTGTTCCATCAGTCACTACGTGCTGGTCAGTATTTCTCAGGCCATGACTGCTCCTTCACTCAGGCATCCTTTCCTACCTGCCATTTGTTTATGCAGTCCATCAGGACATATTTAATGTTCGTTGTATAATAACCAACATGTCAAGCACCCCAAATCTCCAAGGTCCAGGCCCTGCCTTCCAGAAACTCCCACTCTATGGTAAGGATGACTAACAATTTCTGTACCTGTTCATTCAATAAATACATATTGAGCCTATATAAGCTCCAGGCACTGAGGTACTGGGTGATGATAAGATGATAGACAGCCATGGGACTGTCCCATCTGTCCCATGCAACTGTCTTATGACCCCACCCCAGGCCCCTTTCCAGGCTTTTCAGCCAATTCCTGTTCTCCTTTACCAGATGATCTTCTTTTTGCTTTGTGCATTTCTAGATCCACCTAATTCAGTCAAATTGGATCATATAATCCTGTTCCTGAGCAGGGCTAGTGTGCAGATCTGTAATCTCAGAGACTCAGAAGGCTGAAGCAAAAGAATCCAAATCAAAAGCAGTCTTGGGCTACAGTGTGTTAAGGTCAACCTGAATAACTTAATTAGACCCCCATCTCAAAATAAAAAGTAAAACATTATAAAAAGTGTCAGCAAGATGGATCAGCGGGAATCCGCCATCAAGCATGACAACCTGGAATTCAATCCCTAGGAAGAGAGCCAACTTCCACAAGTCATCCTTGGACTTTCACATGCACAGGAATAGAGAGAGAGAGAGAGAGAGAGAGAGAGAGAGAGAGAGAGAGAGAGAGAGAGAGAGAGAGAGAGAGAGAATAAATATTTGTCTTAAGTAAAGAGTACTGGGGATGTAACTCAGACATAGAGCACTTGCTTAGCATGTATGCATGCCTCAAGCTCTTCGGTCAATGCCCAGTTCTTTGTAGCAAAACACAAGATGATTTGTAGCTCTTGTGGGAGGCAATGGCTTTGCAATGAGCCTTGATTCTGGGGTTCAGGAACTAACACAGTTCCTCCCAAATCTGTATGACTTCAGACAGTGTGAGTGCAGTGTTCTCAGGTGCTAAAGGATCAACCTCACAAGGCTGGGAAGGATGAAATGAGATCAGCTGGCATGCCCAGCAGCATGGCAGAGCACTCACTGGGCCTCCGGGACTGCTAGCTCCTTCCCTGTTTGTCTCGCAGCACTTTTGGACCCATCATTGCAACCACTTCAGCAGATTGGAGTACTGCTGGAAACAGCCAAAGGCACTTTTTCTTAAAGTTTAGTAGATTACATTCAGGGAGTGCTTTTGTTTTTGTTTGTTTGTTTGTTTGTTTGTTTGTTTGTTTTGAACTACTTCTGGTCAAGTTAATTCAGATAAGTCCCAGATACTAATGAGGAAAGAAAAGGAGGAAGATTCTAGCTATGAATGTCAGCCTGCAAGTTGGCAAGGAAAGTCCCATAGCCTTGGCTGCAGCATTGGTGGACAGGACAGCCAGCATCATGACAATGCAACTTCTCAGGAAGGCATGGAGGTGCTGGTGGCTTTGTGTAGACAGTGGACGCACTGACACCAGATTCACAAGACCATAGGAAGGATGATTAGTCCCCCTTGTAACTCTGTAACTGCTCTCCTTAAGAAAGCAGTTTTGTATGCCATTTTCTTAAACAGTCTTTGCCTGGAAACCCTGAGTACTGAGAAAATCAACAGTTATCAAAATTGACCAATCAATGTTGCAGATGCCTGTTATGTTCCTGAGAGGGTGTCAACAGGTTCCCAAATGCCCCCAAATGTTGAAGGATCTATCCACACCAGTGATGAGGGTAAGGCAAAATAAAACCATGGATCCCTCAGCCTCAGAATACTCATACTGGCTGGCTGGAGTTTTCACATGGCAACAAAGGTCCCTCTACTGAGACAGGACGCCTCCCTGGGCCCTGCTTTGGAAGGCCTGTGAAGTGCAACTCACTGGGATTCCTGGGTATTAACTCACTATATGAGGATTTTAAACCAAAGGCAATGAAACTGCTGCCCACTCCGGGACACTAGCTCAGCGAAGCAGAAGGCTGCACAGGACACATTGCCATGGGCTGCACACATGTCACTTCTCCTGGGAGCTGAGATTCCAGAGCATCTAAGGTGGCTCCTACTTGTCCATGTCTCAGCTACAGCTCCTAGGTCTCATTCCAAGCTACCTGAGCACCCCGCACGGCACCCGAAACAGCCCTGGTCATGGCACAGCTCCAGCAGCATGGCCTGCACGCTCATTATAAATAAGCCCAAAGGACTATCAATGACCACAGTGACCACACCCCAAGTCTAGGACACACACTCTGACTTTACAGCCCCCAAACTTTGTCTTTCTCAAATGCTAAAAAGATGAAGGGAGAATGTGGTCCATATCATCCCTGCTTGTCACAGAGCCAAGCAGCTGCATGGAGACAGCAGCAGGAAGCTATAGGACATGCTGACAAGGGCCCGAAGAAAGGCTGGCACACCCTGTATACACCTGATAAGGCACTGGCCCATCAAGCACTGGCTTGTCCTGACCCACATATGACAAGTCAGAAATGACAAGACAGACAAGGCCTAGCAGTGCAGCCATTTAGAACCAACAAATGTGGGCAAATGAGAAAACATATTTACCTAAAATCTCCAACACAGGATTAAGCCAACATGGCCTAGAACTTCCATTGAGAAGTTCTGCAGTCCAAGAGGCCATTGTAGGAAGACCTTGAAGGCAGGCAGGAGATTGACTCACACTGAACACACAAGCCTTAGCTCACTACATGAATGAAGCATGGGCAAGTTGTCTGATGGGATATTGGGCACTGTCACCAAACTGGCTTATGCAACCCTCACAAAATGACATCTGAAGTTAGAGAAGTTAAGTAACCAACCTGAGGACCCACAGCTAGCTAGAGGCAAATCACTGATGTGTCAAGGTCAGCCTGCCTTTCCAGCCCATCTCCACCTTCCACACTACTAAACTGAGACAGGATCCCAGAAACAAAGCTACTGAGTTTGAAATGTCCATCACCAGCTTTCATATCAAAACCTAAATCTCATACCTCCGAGATAAGCGATCTACCAAAATCAACTCCACAGCCACATGGGATTGGGATAGAATGAACAAAGGAAGAGAAAGGACACTACAAAGAAATGCAGGCTGTGCCAGTCAGTCAGACAGACAGACCGACAGTCACCTTTACCCACTGTGTGACCTTGGACAAATTACTCAACCTCTGAAGCTTTTTGTGCAGTAGATAGTGTTAATGACCATAACTGGTCAACGTGTAGAGAATAATTGTCTGTGGGGTGATCGGCTAAAGACAGATGTCTCTAGAAGGCAGCTGGATACTATGTCTGTTCAGCAAAAACAGGTAGTTTTTACACTTGCGGCCTAACAGTTCCCCAGCCTCGGATTTTGGGTCAAATTTATAGTAGGAGGCATATATTTGATCTGTGGATTATGGGATTAAATACAATCTGATTAAGTACAATCAGAAAGTAGTTTGTCCCATAACATTCATGCCATGGTTGTGATAATCCACAGGGCTATCCTGCCAGGAGTCATTACTGTAGCTCACAGACTTCACAGCTGTTGATGGCTTTTCTCTTAGCAGCTTACACAGCACCTTCCATTCAAAAAGAGTCTTTCACTGGCCTAGACTTAGTTCATTCGGCTAGACCGGTTGCCCAGTGAGCCCCAGGGACCTGCCTTCCCAACACTGGAATTACAAGCACACATCAACACACCTGGCTTTCTACATGGCTTCTGGGAAGCAAACTCAAAGGTCTTTATTCTTATGTGGCAAGAGCTTTCTGATTGAAACAACTCTCTAGCTTTTACTTCACTTTTAATAGCTACAATACTTTATCAAGGGTGGATGATTCTTTCTTCCTCCTAATACACTACAGTCATCTTATATTACTCTGTGTTGGTCTTCTTTACTATTGGAATAGCAGATGAACCAGCCCACTTAGGGGAACTCACATTTTATTTAGGAATTTCCCTATGGAAGGACATTTAGGAAGATTCCAGAATTCTGGAATTGCAGAAGATGAATCCATTTGTAGGTCTTGGGGCCCTGCTGTGCTTCTGATGGCTGGGTCTAATGGTTCTTAGCCAGCTTCACTCTGTGGCTCTAATGTCCACCCACACAGCAGTCCAGAAATAGGACACAGGAAAGGGCTAAAGGGAGATGTCTCTGGCTTCAGAGGATAAGATACCACAAAGCTATGTCACTCTGGGCTGTGGACCAAGGAGTCATGATGGTTATTCAGAGGCAGGCAGAATGACCTGAGGGTACCTTCTAGACAAAATCTCACACAGCCCAGGTTGCCTTTGCATGTAATATGTAGCTGAGGATGGCTTTGAAATTCTGATCCACCTCTGAGGTTACAGGCATGTGCTACCATAACAGGTTTATTTTTATGTCTTATTCCCAGAACTCATTAAGTATTACCTTAAACAGCAGAAGCTATGGTGAAGTTAAGCTCTTAAAAGCAAGTGATTATCCAAGATCCATGGGCTCTACATGCAACCTCAAAAAAAAAAAAAAAAAAAAAAAATGGAGTGAAGAAGATGACGGAGCAAAGAAGACAGACAGCAGCACAGCAAAAAAAAAAAAAAAAAAAAACTGAGAAGGCAGAAACAAAGACAGCAGTGGCACAACTATAAACCAAGAAATGCCA